GTTTCATCCCTTAGCTGTAAACACGCACCGGACTATGCATACGGGTCCGAGCAGGAATCATCAGTAAAGCTTCCTACCGTGATGTCCAAATCGGTCAGGCAGAAGAAAAATTTGCCTTAAAAAAGTGAAATTTCATCTAAAACAATATGAAGTTTACCCAAATTAGTCTGAAAATGCAGATTTGCATTCCAAAAAAGGCTTTCCGCCTTAAAAAAAAAAAGGGAAAACCTATTCCAAAAATGCAAAACCTAATCTGTATATTGAGCACTTCTCATATTCAAGCATAAATAGAATCAGGAATCGTTGCGAGCAAAGTAAATGTCAAAATTTTCAAAAATTTGCGTAAGCCATTAGTCTCTTATTTTAAAAATATATTTTTTTACACTTTAACTTAAAACCAATTCTGCTCAATCGATGATACAATCCATAAAGTCGTAATTTCTTCTGTCTCTCGCTCTCCGTCGTTCACTCACTGGTGGCAGTCTCAACAATGTCTCTAGATCCGCCGATAATCCAGTTATATGGGTTTGTGTGGGTTTTGTTTCCCAAAACTGCTTAAAAAACTGAACAGCAATGCAATCATTGCGAGGAAGGCAATTTCTCCTTTCTACAAATTAGCCTTTGAAGAAAACCCTATTCAAGCTGGCGGCCGAATCGCACAACACTACCACAGTATATCATACAACAATCACAAATGCCTTTGGTAAGGTAAAGCCAGCACCGAATGGCGATGCCAAAAGCAAACTTCTGAACTACAACCATGCATTTTCCAGCTTTCGTAGATCACCAAGGCAGCCAGATCTCGTAAAAGAGGTTTTTTTTTTTTCGAAAAAATGAATTTCAAACCTGTAAGACTGAGCAATGCAAAAAACATCGCCCAGCGAAGGAATACAAGTTTCCAAATACAGTTGCGATGATTGGGTCAGATATGATGGCTCGCCAAAATAGCTTAGCTCAAATAGGGTCGATCCACCTTCCACCTGCAAAAAAAAAATCAGTTTATCATACCAGAAGAAGGTCACAGCTTTCAAACAGCCATAGCAAAATCGTCATCATAAATTCAAAAAAACAAAATCGACTGCTTTGTGCCGATTAGTACACAAAACGTGTTTATCTGCAAAAGGGGATCAGCACTGGTCGGTCGACAATCCTCGGCAATTACTGGGGGTAGCAATGGGGTCCTCGTCCTTCGTAATTCGTCCTGGTCGGCGCATTTCACGGGATCAACATTGGTCGGTCGACAGTACTCGACGGGATTGACACTACTCCTTCAGGCAAACACTACTTACAATAGGGATACGGTGGCCTTATATAGGCCGCTTTCGCGCCAACCTAGGAGGAGGTCATGATGCCACACTTTTACTAATTTCTTAATATTATTTTCTCTTTTATTTTTCTTTCTACTTCAAAATATCTGTTATTTACCTCGCATTAAACTCCTTTCAGCTGTGTCTTTTACACCTCAACTGCCAGCGCTACAGAACTATCCGTTAGCATAGTCGTTTTTAGCCTCACAAACTGCCATTTGATGCAAGTTTATATTGAAAATGAAAACCATAAAATACAAAAATTTAGTTTGCCTGTCTTCCAATTCCCTATACTACCACCAACAACCATGAAAATTTTTTTACAGTTTGGTTTTGCGTCACTTCATAAGCGCAGAAACCGTCAATTTTCTATAAAGGAATCTCGATTAGGACGAAAAATATACCACCCAAAATTTCAAGATTGTGTAAAGGCGAAGCCTTTGCCTCTACATCCCCCTTCCCAGTCAAGATTATAAAATACAAAATAAAGTAAAAGCTGAGGTTATCTTTCGATGACATTCCAGCTGAACGTCGGTAAGCGAGGGCCTTCACCTTCAAATCTCCCATTTTGGGGGATGACTGACCCTGGTCATGAAACCAAGGAGCCTTGGGGTTGATGGACCTACCCAGGCGACGTGACTGCGCCTTTACGCTTCTGTGTCTCTCTTTATATAAATTATCACCGAAAAAACGTCACAGTAACAAATTATGAAAAAAAAAACTGTTTTATCATCTAAAGCACTAAATAATTCATGAATTTAATCATCAAAATTTCAAATGTGGCAAACTACTTGAAGTTCCTAACCTACTGAAATTCTTGTGTGAAAAATACTGAAAATTTCTGTCCCAAACCATAGAAGCTCCTCTATTTCTGGAGCCAAAAAAAAGGAAAAATTCGTCCTTGTGCTTTCCCAGTTACAAAATCACAGATTAAATCTGCTAAATTCACAGAACCTGAGTTTGAACCAACGTTGGTGGCATCACTTCGGTGTAGCCTGCGCTATGGAAGTGTTCACGCATTGCACGGGTAGCAGCTGCTTTTAGGCGCAATATGGCTGCTGTATTTTCACCTCGTATTACCAAATGCCTGTTGTCCAGCATCGTATCGACACCTGCTTCTTCGTTAAGCACATTGTCAATACCTTAAAATGCAAATATATTAACAGAACACAAAAAAATATATTAAAATAGAAATATATTCTTCGAGCGAACTTGTGCACAGCTATATCTACTTGGGACAAGCAGTGCAGATGAACAACGACCTAGGAACTGAAATAATACGAAGAATAAGAGCTGGGTGGA